CCTGTAATCCCAGCACTTGGGAGACTGAGCCAAGAGCATCCCCGGAGTTCAAGGCCAGCCTGGACTACATAGTGAGTTCAAGGACAACCTAAACTACATAGTGAGACCTTGTCTCAAAAAAGAAAAAATTTAAAGTATGTGTGCTCTGATATACATCATAATTCTGAGTGATTTTGTCTGTAAAATGGAATTGTGGACAGTTATTACGTTCGTCCAGTTTTCTTCAATAACTAGTTGGGATTTTTTGGTGGGTTTTTTTTTTGGCAATTCTAGAAACATTACTCTAGAAGTAGAACAACTTAGATCCTCTTCTGCTGACAATAGATTGTCTCCCTGCCTAGAGTTACAAAATCAAATTCTTGAATGTTTTGTGTGACACAGACAAAACAATTTAAATACATACAGAAGAATTACACCCTACAACTTTCTGAAAGTCCACACATCGGACAGGCCTATTGCAACCAGGAATAAGTACCCTCTAGGATCCCAGAAAAGTGTCTAGTGCTTTCTTTTAAACACTACCTCACCTCAGGGATAAGCACAATCCCCACTTCTACCACTATATTTGGTTTTGCCTTTCAAATTTTATATAAGTGAAATAATACAGTAGGTACTCTTCAGCTTTTTTCACTAATATTATTTGTGGAATTCATTTAAATTCCTCATGTAATGGCAAGCCATTCATTCTCACTGCTGTATAAAATTCCCAGTGTGGGGCTGGAGATTTAGCTCAGTGGTTTCACTGCCTGCTGTGCAAGCACAAGGACCCGAGTTTGATCCCCAGTACAAAAAAAAAAGAGAAAATTCCGAGTGTGAATCTACAACTTATGTTTTTCATCTAGCTGTTGATGGGCAGTTTTCAGTGTGGGCAGTTATGATTAAAGCTGTTACTAATAGTTTCTTAATAAACATGTTTGCATTTGTTAGACATAAACTATAGGGTTACTGGGTGACAAATAGTTTTTAAAATTTTTCTGAGCTGAGCATGTGGTGGTGCACACCTGTTATCTCAGCACTTGGGAGGTTGAGGCAGGAGGATCACCGAGAGTGCAAGGCCATCCTGGGTTACATAGTGAGTTCAAAGACAGTCTGAACTACATAGCAAGACCCTGTCTCAAAAAAAAAAAAAAATGAGGAGGGGGCCCTGAGGATTTACCTCGGTGTTGCCATGCCTGCCTTGCAAGGTCCTGAGTTCGATCCCTGGAACTGGAAAAAAACAAATTTTTCCCCCCTCTGGACCCAGGATCCCCAGTGTTGCCCTCAGCTCATATGTAATTTACATGGTCCGAAATGTTCACATATACCCTTGCCAATTGACCATGTTATTCTTCTCTGAGCTTGGTAAATGTCCCCCAAGACAGCAACTTTCCGCTCTTGGGTTTCTGCAGTGTCTACGAGAAGATGTAGTCCTTGAATGTTATTAACAAGTTATTTTCTCTGTCTCTATTTGTTGATGGGTTGATACTAGGGATTGAACCCAAGAGCATTCTACCATTGAGCTACATCCTTAGACCTTTTTATTTATTTTTATTTTTTTGGTACCAGGGATCGAACTCAGGACCATGAGCTTGTGAGGCAGGCAGCAGCACCACTGAGCTAAATCCCCGGCCCAAGACCTTTTTATTTTTTGAGATAGGGTCTCACTAAGTTACCCAGGCTGGCCCCCAACTTGCAATCCTCCTGCCTCAGCCTCCTGAGTGGCTGGGATTACAAGTGTGCCACCAAGCTCAGCTAACAAGTTATTCTTAACAATGAGTGAATTAATCTGTTAAGGTCAATCTAAATCAGGGGTTCCACGTGAAAATTTTCCCATTGTTACACAACTTGTTCTTCTAAAATACTATTCTCCTTCCTTGTCAGAGAAAACAGATGATTCCCTAGAGCACCTGCACCTGCTGCACTTCCCAGGGGACAGATACACAGGCTCAGAACTGTAACTGCAGCATAACTGCTCTCATGAAGGGTTATTTTGGGGGTGAGAGCTCTCCTAAGAACAGGGGAGTCTAAGTCTTACAATCTGAATGATCTGATAGTTTTTTTTCTGTACCGGGGATTGAACTCGGGACCTTGTGCTTTCGAGGCAGGCAGCATCACCACTGAGCTAAATTCCGCCCCCCACCCCCTGCCATAGGTTTTTTTTTTTTTTGGTACCAGGGATCAAACTTGGGACCTTGCACTTGTGAGGCAGGCGGCAGAACCACTGAACTAAATCCCCGGCCCGATAGGTTTTTAATATGTGCATAAAATAACAAACATATTTGTTTCCTAACATATTATGACATCTCTGAAAGACAAACATATCCCTCTATAGATTTCCAGCATCTAGCACATGCTTGGGTATCACAGAAGCTCAACAAGTATTAAAATGTGGGCTGGGGATTTAGCTCAGTGGTTTTGCCGCCTGCTGCCTAAGCGCAAGGACCCAAATTCGATCCCCGGTACCAAAAAACAAGTATTAAAATGCATACTGTGTGTTTCAAATGGATGGAAAAAATCTACTGAACCACTGGCCAAAAGTACAGTTAATTATTTAGCACAGTGAATTACTGAGAAAATCTTTGTGAAACTGTACTGCTAACATGTACATCGCTCATTATGGCTTGACCAACCCCATGCCAGGGATTGTTCTACAAGCAGTAACAATAGGTGAATCATGACATGAAAAATACTCCATGAATTATTAAAATATTGCAGGGACGAGGATTTAGCTCAGTGATTCCACCGCCTGCCTCACAAGCACAAGGACCTGGGTTCAATCCCCAATACCACACACACACACACAAAGATATTTAAAAAAATAAATAAAAAATTGCAAATAATTTTATAACATTTTATTGTTTTTTAAAAAGCTACATTTCTAGAAAAGCAAAGTATGTACACTCAGATGAAAACGTCTGGAAGGTTCCATATGACACTTAAACAGAGGTTATCTCCAGAGGAGTGGGAGGTTGTGGCTGGTGTTAAAGGAATTTAGGTCAATCTAGGATGATTTTTTTCTCCTAAGATTATTTTTGTGTACTGTTTGTGGAATTAAATCGTGTTAACTTTTTGTTTGTTTGAGACTGGGTCTCCTTACGTAGTTCAGGTTGGCCTTGAACTTGCAACAATCCTGCCTCAGCCTCCTGAGTGCTGGGGTTACAGGTGTGTGCCACTACGCCCAGCTGTGTTAACATTTTAAGTGAATTTCTCTTTATTTCTATCAATTTCCCTATTACCCGAACACAACTATTATTTTACTTTTGGCATTGCTGGGGATTGAACCCAAAGCTCCATGCTAGAAAGCACTCTAGCACAGCTACACTCCCAGCCTTGAACTAGTCTTAAAAGGAAACACAATAGGACAGGTTTCCCTAAGTTTAGACATCCAACTACTCTCTCCACGTAAGGAACATGAAAAATGTACAGAAAGGAACGAATGAAGAGTTTGACAAGCTCAGGCTTGACAAAGCGCGGGTACTGACTTCTGAGGAAGCTGCTCATCAATTTAAAGGGAAACTCGCAGCTCATTTTCATCCACTCTTAAGAGAAGTTCGCTCTCCAAGGACGAAACAGTAACGGAGAAAGGAATAAAGAGCGCCAGAGTGAGATGGTTTAATCCTACGATGGAAGCAATTAAAGAGAAGGGAAAGTGTACAAGATTAATGGAACAGAAATACAGTAGAGAAGGCAATACATATATGCTTAGCCAATTACACAGGCTCACAAATACTTTAAAGTATCTTTTGGGTCCCACGCCTTACAGTTTGGAATTTTTTTTCTCTTACAAACGGGGCTCAGGGTCCAGGCCGGATTCTGACACTCATGCACTGCTTATCCAAGATCCATCAGCGAACACTTTTTTCCTGTGGCCTGTTTCCCCTCTAAAACAGAGGGGGTTTGGGGTAACTGAACCCGGAGCGCAACCGCTGTCTGATGTCGAGCCAAAGTCTAGGGCACTTCAGTACCAAGTGGCCAGAGAGCGCCTCTTCGCGGGCTGCGGCGGGGCTGCCACCATAGCCTTCCTCTGCGCCGGCTCTCCGCGGGACCGGAAGGAGAGGGCCGGGTGCCAGATTGACCGTGTGCCCCACTAGTTCCAGATGCGCCGCTCTTCAGGACGCCCGCTGTCATGCGGGCGAGAGGCCGACCGGCCGAGCGGCGGGGCCGGAAAGGTGTCTCGGGCGCTCGGGGCCGACGCCGGAGAGGAGGAAGCGGAACGCGCCGGCCTGTGACGTGGCCCAATCGCCGGTCCGTACCGGCGGTTCCTCCATAACGGGTGGACGGGCCCCGCGGCCGTCTCGGGGGCGGGCCCAGGATGTGGCCCAATGGGGGCGCGCGTCGGGGAGGCAGGGGCAGGGCCAGGCGCGCAGCAATGGGCCGGGCGGCGAAGGCGCCAATGAGCGTGCGCCGCGTCCGGGGCCGGCTGGTGAGCGAGAAGCTGCGAAGAGGTAGGTGGCTAATGTAACAGTTTGTAAACCGGGGGGGAGTTGAGAAGGGCGCGAGCTGAGGGGCCGTGTGGGTAGGTCTCCGCCGTGTTGTCCCCTCACGGGGGCTTCAGGGGCAGAATCCAGAGGGGCCGGGGAGGGCCTAGCCATCGCTCCTCGGGGAGGCAGCGTGCTAGCCGGGGGCGGGTCGGAGCGGGAGTGAGGCCCTCACGGACGCCGGTGCGTTGGGCACCGCCGCCCCCCCCCCCAACTGAGCCAGGATCCGCTCTGCCGCCTCGGTCAGGTGAGGTTTAGGTGAAGGCCGAGTGCTCAGTACTGCTCGGCGAGTAACCTTAGTGCTCCAAGTACTGCTGTGCTTGGGGAGCGGGGCCAGGTAGTGGCATGGGGAAGGAGAGGGGGCAGGACAACCCACAGGGATGCGGAGGAGGGGACGGGGTCCCTCTTCCATCCCCGCTACTCCCAGCGTCAGCACCAGGCTGCCCAGGCCCAGCCCCGCTTTCCCCTCCATCCAGGGGAGCTGCAGGTGTGAGGGGGTAGTGGAGCCGGCGCAGAGGTCCCCGGCCCATCCTGGATGTCTGCGAGCAGGCTGATGCAGTGGATGGAAGGCCCCAATCTCCTTTCTCCCGTCCTATTAACCGCTCTCATTAGGGATGTGGTGGAGCCGAGAACTCATGTTCTTTTGTTTGATCCTTTCTCTGGATATTTCTGGGGATGATTAGAGTGGTTGGAATTCATCAAGAGGGAGGTCGATCGATATAGGCTGCTGTGCCCTGGGTGATAAGACAGTAGATATGAACCTTACAGCTTCTCAGTTCTGGGATGTGGTTCTGTCTCCTTCGCACTGGACATATAGTTACAAGTGATTTTTCTTCCTCCCCCAGGGACACAATGGCAGTCAGAAGGCAGAGGCCGAGGAGGCTTGCCTGTTGGGCCTTGATGGCTATTGTCTTGGCAGACCTGTTGGCACTGAGTGGTATGTACCCAGCAAAGGGTTCAAAAGAATAAATGAGTGATGGGGAGGGCCATAAGGCTCCTGGTCAGAAGTGTCTTAGAGTTGCTGGAGCCGGACTTTTATTTTTCCTTTGTTATCTTTTGCCACCAAAAGTGGTATGCTTTCATTAAAAAGCCCTGAAGAGGGGATGCAGATTGACAATCCTGTTTTCCATTAGACACGCTGGCAGTGATGTCTGTGGACCTGGGCAGCGAGTCCATGAAGGTGGCCATCGTTAAACCTGGAGTGCCAATGGAGATTGTCTTGAACAAGTAAGGGTGGCCCTGGTGCCGAGGATGGGCAGTGGGGAGTCCGGGTACTAAGCAAATGTGTGTTCCTCATAGCACCCACACCAGACTTCAGTGTTACGGAGTGGGGAGGCTCCTAGGTCACACCTTGGATCTCTTTTCCTCAGGGAATCTCGAAGAAAAACCCCAGTGACTGTGACCCTGAAAGAAAATGAAAGATTCTTTGGAGACAGTGCAGCAAGCATGGTGAGCAGCAGCCCCTTTCTCGAGTGGTATGTCCAGGATGTTCCTTTATGCATCTGTCTCTATGATGTCAGAGACAGTTGTGCTGGGCCTGAGTACTAACACTGCTCGTGTCTACCTCCTTCAGGCCATTAAGAACCCAAAGGCTACACTGCGTTACTTCCAGCACCTCCTAGGGAAGCAGGCAAATAACCCTCATGTGGCCCTTTATCAGGCTCGTTTCCCTGAGCATGAGCTAAGCTTTGACCCTCAGAGGCAGACTGTGCGCTTCCAGATCAGCCCGTGAGTGTTCTGTTGGGGAAGGTGGGCTCAGTAGCCCTTCTGGGCTCCTCGGCATGCATAGATGATTGCCCTATCTTAGTTTTTGGCTTTCCTTGCCTCTGTTCCCCTCAGGCAGCTGCAGTTTTCACCTGAGGAAGTGCTGGGCATGGTTCTCAATTACTCCCGTTCCCTGGCTGAAGATTTTGCAGGTGAGTGCCAAGGTGGTAGCCACCGGTGGTGGTCACACTCCCCCAGAATCTATACTGGCAATTCTCAAGTGGAGACAGTTTTGCCTGCTCGGGAACATTTGGCAATGTCTGTAAACATACTTGATTGTTAGACTTGTGGATATGTCACTGGGATCTAGTGAGTGGAGCTGGGGAGACCTCTAAACATCCTGCAGTGCACAAGACTGCCCCTCCCAAAGACATATCTGGTTCAGAATGTCAGTAGTGACTAAGAAACCATCATCTAGGGCAGTGGTGGTGAACCTATGGCACACGTGCTGCAGCAGGCTGTTTGTATCATTGAAAGGTTTGCCATTACTGGTCTAGGATGTGGAGCTGGTGGGATCCTATTCTCTTGTCCCCTGTAGAGCAGCCCATCAAGGATGCTGTTATCACCGTGCCAGCCTTCTTTAACCAGGCTGAGCGCCGGGCTGTACTGCAGGCTGCTCGCATAGCGGGCCTCAAAGTGCTACAGCTCATCAATGACAACACTGCCACTGCTCTCAGCTATGGTGTCTTCCGCCGGAAAGATATCAATGTCACTGCACAGGTGAGCTCCAGAGGCCTGTTCAAACAAGCAAACGGCTGAGCCTGAGGTGGAGGCCACTTGACCTGTTTTGCACTTGTTTGCATATCTACCTTTTGGCAAAATGCATCTCTTCTTGATCCACGTTGAAGCTGTTCAGCTTTAAGTTGAGAGTTGAGCAGCCCCTTGGATGCAAGCAGGTGGGAGGCAGGTGTTCTGGCCTTTGATAAGTTTCCTGTGACAGTTTCCTTGATATTTCCACAGACTGTCATGTTCTATGACATGGGCTCAGGCAGCACCGTGTGTACCATCGTGACCTACCAGACAGTGAAGACTAAGGAGGCCGGGATGCAACCACAGCTGCAGATCCGGGGGGTGGGGTGAGTGGATGCCAGGAAGAGAGCTTCTTATGAATATGTTCATGATAGGGCCATAATTTGTATGTCTCGCTGCCTGGAAGCTCTGATCTGAATTCTGTTGTCTGATAAATGCTGAACACCGGTGGTACCAGCCACCTGATGGGACAGTCAAGCCTGTACCACCCATGGTTCAAGCCAGTGGGAACATGTTAAGACCTTTAGGTCAGGGCATTTTTTTTTTTTTGGTACCAGGGATTGAACTCAGGACCTTGCACTTGTGAGGCAGGCGGCAGAACCACTGAGCTAAATCCCTGGCCCTCAGGGCTCTCTTCCTAGAAGGGCAGCTTTCTCTTTCCTGCTCTGCAACAGTGCTGTCCTGGGTAAAGCATTAGTCTGGGGGACTACTCCCAAAGAGTAGAGGGAAGCTGGAGAGAAGGGGAGGACAGCTTGGGGAAATTGAAAGGCAAGAAACTTCCTGAACTTATTCTGAGGAAATCTCTGAGTTTCTGAGGACATTCATGAGGCTATAGGCCATATGTAAAATATATATATATATATATA